CTGCTCAGCGTCCGGTCAGTAGATGAAACCTGGCCAGCGTCTGGTCAGCACTGACCGGACGCGTCCGATCAGGATTCCCCCTCTCTGGAACCTTACTGGAGTTGATCGGACTCTGGCACCCAGCGTCCGGTCACATTTCACTCAGCATCCGGTCCCACCAGACGACTTCTGCTGGATCAAATGAACTGACCGGACTCTACTGCCAGCGTCCGGTCAATATTTGACCCTCTATTCACTTCCAACTCGGAATCATACGTGAATGAAGTTTTCTCCAATTGATCTTAGGGCTACTTAGGAGCTACCTATTGCTAGATTTGATAAGTGTGCACCACACCTAACCCACTAGGCTCACCTAGGTCAAGCTACTAGTCCATACCCCCCTTTATAGTACGTCCAAAGGAAAAAATAAAGTCTTAAACTACTCAAAGTGTATCTTCAACACCAAACGACACTTAGAACCACTCATCGGCCTTTCCTATGGGATTAGTGAGAACTTCCTTGTTTGGCAACACATAAACTTGCTCTGCTGATGCCTTACCCTTTTGTTGGACCTGATTAGCAAGCTTAACCAAAACCGGCTTAATCGGTCCTACCTTGTTGGAGCTCGATTGGCCGTAGATCAATCGACTATGAGGGACATACCGTTGCTCATTATGAGCTAAGCCAACAGGCATCCTCCAATGGTGAGGATTTTGATGTATTAATGGGTAAGGAATCAATACTCCATCTTTATATGTGTGCTGCAATTTTTGCTAGCAGCTAGCTTGACTGATTTGGGAAATCGATCTTGCTGATTTTTTTGTCCACCAACAGTAAAATCAGTTTGGTTGACTTTTAAAGTCAGCCTAATCGATCCTCTTCGAACAATAGTGTTAGTGGCTGATTTCTGCTTGTCCACGGGAGTTTGAGCTTGACCCCCGAGCCCAAAAGATTTGATAGTGATCTTAAGGCTCTCCTGATTATCATTGGACTTTTCTAGCACCACCTCACGATCTAAGACTTTCTTTCCCTTCTTATGTTCTCTAGGCTCGCCGATTATCATATTCTTTCTAATAGCGGAATCGGCTTTCTCCGGCCGAATCAAGACGGCCCGATTATTGATCTCCAGAGTTTCAGCCATGGGAATTGTCTTTTTACAAGGCAAAGGATGTGCATCTCCATCATGCGTAGCTTGCATGTCCAACTTTGCCTTTTTTATTTCCAAATCCGATTAATAAATTTCTGTGAATCGGTTTGGGAGGCATTACATGAAGCCTCAGGCATTGGAGCCATGCTTGATGACTTTGGAGAGTCAGACAACATCGTAATATGAGGCAATGAAGCATGCGGTGCTATTGTCCCATCATTGGTTCGAGAAGTATAAACCGAATTGGGTGTATATGTAGTAGCAGGAAGAATAGTGCTAACCCCTCCTGAATTAGTCTTATCGGTTTCAGGCGCCAAAGAGACCAATTCGGGTTTCTTCCTAAAAATAATCTTGCCATATTGATCAATATAACAATAAGATAGCCTCTTACCAGGAGGTATAGTGGTAGCCTCTCCTGAATTGGCCCTATCGGTTTCAGGCGTTGAAGAGGCCTAATTTGGATTGACTCTTTGAAATCAGCCTGCCATGCTGGTCAAAATAATAGTAAAATGGCCTCTCATACTGAGGTTGACTAAAAGCCGAGGCTGATTCACTAGTATGTCCAACATGAAGTGAAGTAGTAATAGGAGTACCAAAGATTCCTACCTCTAACTTGTCAAATGCAGAATTCATCTTAACCATAGTATAGAAAAGAGGAGAATCTTCAGTAATCCCATCTACCTTCAGCTTAGCTATGGTTGTAGACCTGACGAGGATCTCCTCACCCATTGGACTAGTCAACTCGTCGTTGCGACCGTTGTTCCACATCTTGATAAAAGGAGATTAAGACCAGATGCTTTCAGCCTTTTTGACCAGATTAAGCAACAGCAATGAGAACATAAAAAGATAAATCAGTAAAGAGTAAGGCTAGGGCAAAGAGATTCAGCTACAAAGTAGAGCCGAAGCAATCTTTTTCCCTAGCGGAGTCGCCAAAAAGTGTGCTGACGCTTAATTAGGTCACACACTCGATAAGGAGCTAGATCGCTTGATGTAGGGCCTAGCCAATTTTGGGATCGGCCGGCGCCTAGGGGATGTCCACACCTAGACCTTGTGTCTCTAGCGATGAGCGCGATACGCAAGACACATCACCAAAGGAGCCTCACCGGGAATGCGATACGCAAGACACGCCGGCGGGGTCTCTTGAGACCCAAAACCCCACACTCCCGGGAGAGACCCCATTGGGGTGTGCGGTGGCTATGTGCTGCCCTAGCCGGCCTAACCGCTCTTGAGCGTCGTCACCGTCGATCCTCCAGCCATGCAGCACCACGCGAAGAACGAGGAAAAGAGGTAGAGGGGAAGAGAGGGTAAAAAGATGTGGTGGATTTATTTGTTGCGTTTTTGTGTCGATTGGATAGATGGGAACTCAATCGGCCATGATCCTCTCATATATATAGAGGGGGTGGTCTTATCTGAAAGGATCAAGATGCCCAAGAGGGGGGTTGAATTGGGCTAATTCTAAAATTCTTTGCAATAATTAAACCCTACACATAGCCCACTTCACCCCTTGTGCCTAGAATGTGAAGCTATTGATCTACCGCACAAAAGTTTAGCACCCTAAGTTCCAATCCTACTCTAGCTATGGCATTCTAAGAATGTAAAGACAAGAATTGAATTGCTCAAATGTAAATGCTTAAAGTAAAGAGAGGAGAAGGAACACGGCGATGTTTTGCCGAGGTATCGAAGAGTCGCCACTCCCCACTAGTCCTCGTTTGAGCACCCGCGTAAGGGTGTAGCTCCACCTTGATCCATGCAAGGATCAAATGCTCTCTACGCGTTGATTCTTCGACACTCTGTCATGGTGAATCACCCACAACCGCTCACAACTTGAGTTGGGTCATCCACAAGCTTCGCCGGATGATCACCAAACTCCCAATCACCACCAAGCCATCTAGGTGATGGCGATCACCAAGAGTAACAAGCACGAACTCTCACTTGACCACGACAAGCCTCATGAGAAGGGTGGATGCACACTTGCTACTCTCTTCTTGCACTAATGAGGCCTTAATCTTGGATTCTCAAATCTCAATCACCTCACTAGGCTCTTGCTCTTCTAAGCACTCTCAAGGGTGTTTCTCAGCTGTTGAAATAGGCAAGAGACCTCCCTTGGATGAATAAAGGAAGTATTTATACCCCCCTCATTTAAAACGAACCGTTAGGAGCTGGAAACACCACTCGCAGGGTGACCGGACGCTCCGGTCAGTTCTCCCCGCCACAGAGTTGTTAAGTTGTGACCGGACTCTGACCAGCGTCCGGTCAGCACTGACCGAACGCGTCCGGTCACAAAAACTGCTCTCTAAAACCTTACTGATGTTGATCGGACGCTAGAACCCGAGTCCGGTCCACTTCACTTTCAGTCGTCGGCCAATGGCGGAAACTCGACCGAGTGTCCGGTCGAAGATCGACGGGACGCGTCCGATCAGGATTCTCCCTCTTTGGAACCTTATTGGAGTTGACCGGACTCTGACACCCAGCATCCGGTCACATTTCACTCAGCGTCCGGTCCCACCAGACGACTTCTGCTTGATCAAATGAACTGACCGGACTCTACTGCTAGCGTCCGGTCAACATTTGACCCTCCATTCACTTCCAACTCGAAATCATATGTGAATGAGGTTTTTTCCAATTGATCTTAGGTCTACTTAGGAGCTACCTATTGCTAGATTTGACAAGTGTGCACCACACCTAACCCACTAGACTCACCTAGGTCAAGCTACTAATCCATACCCCTTTATAGTACGGTCAAAGGAAAAACAAAGTCCTAAACTACTCTAAGTGTCTCTTCAACACCAAATGACACTTAGAACTAGTCCATCCTTAACATTGTTGTCCATCCTTTAAAAACCGAAACAATTTCTATCGTAGGGGCATGACAACCATGATTGCCCAATCAATTGCTATTACCATGACCTAACTTACTTGCCTCTACAAAATACACGTTAGTCATAGTAATCATGTGTTGTCATTAATCATCGAAACCCAACTAGGGGCCTAGATGCTTTCATTATCCTAGTAGAAAACCTCTCCAAGACTTATTTTCCAAGTTTCACACGAGGTTGGAATAGTTCGGATCGGAATCCAAAAGGCCAGATCTAAATAGGTCTTTTTATTAAGTCTGTCGGAAGTCCCGACTTGGGTCAAAACTCCCGATGGGGATAACCCTAGACACCCAAGCAAGTTTCTTCAGGCTTTCCAAAGTCCTGACACCCGTCGGAACTTTCAACGGTCAAAAATCCCAACTCGGGTCGAAACTCCCGACAACGGAGCATTTTCCCGGGGCATAACTCCTTCATCCGGACTTTGAATTAGACGTTCCATATATTTTTTTGACCGTCTCGATGAGAGGAATGTAATGGTGAAGTCCGTTTCACATTTTGACAACTTCATAAAATGGACATTTTTTGTTGTCAACAACTATCTATCCTAAACCCAGTCACGCACTCTATTACGTCTTGGCCGACAAAAGTAAGAGTTTTTTTTTATTTATACCATTACTGTTTTGCAAGTTTAGAGATACGCTATTATAGTTCGTCTATTTGATGATTTACTGTTATAATTTTGTCTCTTCCTTGTCCGTGCCATTTTATAACTCTCCCGCGTACATGGGTCTACAATCAGGCACAAACACCGTGTATGTACGTCAAGTCCTACCTCCTCCGTTAACAAGCCCGCCCGCTGCGGCCTGCGCGCGAGCGGCGCGGCGGCTAGCACGCGAGGTGGAGAGCACGACGAGTGCCTGCGGCGGCCTGCGCGCGAGGCACGCGCTCATTGCCGCTCTTCCTCCTTGCCGTGGCTGCGACCGTGACTACGCCTCGACGCCAGCTGCGCCCAACGCCGAGCTCCCGCTCCCAACTCCACTGTGCCCGTCCTCATCGCCATGTTCGCCGCCAAGGGGTTCGTGGTCCAGGAGCTCGTCGCGCTCTCCGCCTCGCGCGCAGCCCCCGCCCTGCGCCCGTGCGACTCAGCGGCGTACGCGTCGTGCTCGGCGCACGGCATCTCCACCATTTGTGACCCCTCGCGTTCGAAGACGCCGAGGAACGCCTCGGCGCTGGCGCAGCGGGCCGGACAGATGACGGCGGCGATGGCGGCCACGAAGGACACGGTCGCGCCGAGCGTGCGGCCCGGCTGCTGTTTCAACGCGACGAACTTCCTAGAGAGGCTGCGCGGCAAGCGGCTACTGCTCGTGAGTCCATGCTCTGCGTCCTGTGCGAGGCCCTGCCAGACAAGGCCAGGATGTTCGAGACGCACGGGTACGGGATCAGTAAGGACCGAGCCTACTTCTAAGTTCGTCTTCAAGATGCACGGTGTAGGCCTAATCATCTATCCCAACGCACATGCACCCACTAAGGGCCGAGCCTACCTCCATGCCCTTGAGGTGCGTAGCGAGGTGCTCCGGGAAGTCGTAGCAGTCGACGCGGAAGGCGAGGGCGCCGGATGCGTAGCAGACGGTGAAGCCGGACTGTTGGAGCAGCGGCTTGCGCCACACCGTCAGCACCGCCAGCCGCTCCTAGTCCTGGTGGTGGCCTGCCTCGGCCCCGCGGCAACGGGCTCCAGAGTGATGGCAATGGCGTTGCGGCTGCATGATGCGGGGGGGTTGGATTAGCTTGGAGGGGATTGGATGGGCTCCTGGCCGTCACTGCGCTGGTGCGCTTGGAGGCCGCGCTGCAGTGGCGCGTCGGCATCCCCGTGGCGCGGCTCGTCGACTTCTTTGACGCGGTGACGGGTCCGGCGCAGGAGGCGAGGCATTCGCGGGTGGTGGAGGTGGCGTTTGGGGCGAGCGCGGCGAGGCGAGGCCGGTTCACTTGAACTTATGAGCCGGCTTAATCTACAATATTTTTCTCTCACAACAAAATAGCTTGAGTCGGGCACTTGACGTTGGTATGGGTTCTTGTACACGTACGTGCCTGACAATGGGCCCTTGTACGCGACAGATGTAGAAAATAGTATGAATGAGTGAGAGATAGAATTGTAATGACAGATCTTCGAATAGACGAATTATAATTGCATTTGTCAAAACTTAGAGAATTGTAATGGCCTCAATAAAAAAAACCCAAAAGTAAAGTCCTATCATGTATACTTTTGTCTTCGGGCTTGCTTCTCGCTTTTTCTCTGTAACGTTGAGCATTTGATCAACTTGTGGCATTCTCCATCTACTATGTGGATGCCATCTAACTCAACCCTTTGTGTGGACTTTACCTAGCTCAATCAACACTTAAACACATGGTCAGTCCAACAATTGTCGCTTAATAACCAAAATCAAACATAGAGTTTCAACCATACATGCTAACACTGTTACTTTGAAAGGGCAGGGGGTCAGCGCTAACTATGGTTCTAACCATGCTTCACCTGCATTTCTACATAGTCTTGACGATTAACATCAACTAAGTATAATACTCTTTCGGTTCTAAATTATAAGACGTTTTAAAAAAATTATAGTTTGATTTATCCTCTAAACACTAATCTTGAATGAGAAGTACTAACGAATGCTAGGGGAGCATACCTCTGTCTGCTCTCAGCGGACGTAACATCATGTAGATCGACTGATGCGACGCTACACCAGCAAAAACGATAACAAAAACCGTTCAGGAGGTAAAAAATAAACAGTTTTAGGTTAAGAAGTCAAACAAAATCACTTTTGTAGATAAGATGGAAATGGGGAGTTGAGGCTAATAGACTTTTTTGGATTTTTTTTTAGAAACAAAAGACTTCTTTTCTTTTTTTAGGGACAAAAGACTTCTTTAGATGGAAAGACTTTTTTTTTCTTACAATTACATACCCCTTATTTAGTTCCCACCCTAAAACTTTCATCCTCGTCACATCGAATGTTTTGACACATGCATGGAAGCATTAAATATAAACTAAAAAAATAATTAATTACACATATTGCGACTAATTTACGAGACGAATCTTTTAAACCTAATTAGTTCATGATTTGACAATAAAAAGTTCTACAGTAACACATACGCTAATAATGAATTAATTAGACTTTAATAAATTCATCCGACGGTTTATTCGACGTGACACCCCGAATTTTACGACCAGAAACTGAACAAGGCCATTAAGCACTTTGATCAGGCCGGCCTTAGGCGAATTGCAGCCCATATGGGCCCGTTCAACGGCGGCACGGCACGACAAGCGAGCGGTCACGTGCGAGCTGATTTTTCTCGCAGCGGGTAGCCCTGTCCCTGACCTGTGACCTGACCCTGACCCGTGCGGCCCCTTGACGTGCGGCTCCTCGCAGACGGCGCCAGAGCCGCCTCCTCGCCCTCTCGCCATCGGCCGGCGACGGTGGCTGCTTCCCCGAGCCCGCAGGTGCTGGCTTCTACCTCCGCCGTTCCCCTCCCCTTCTTCTGGCTTCTACCTCCGCCGTTCCCCTTCCTCTTCCTCGTAGCTGTTCGCGTTGCTGTGGGTCTGACATTTCCCTCGTGAATCCACACGGCTTAGATCGGGTGGTAGATCTGGTTGGGCTAGTCGCTGTCTGAAGCAGCTGCCGAGCTAGGTCGCAGCTGCGGCGCTGCCTCCGGGGTCTTGCGGCGCCAGATCTGGATAGGAAAACGCCGCGCACGAACTGAGCTAAATTCTGTTCGATTCGAGTTCTTATAGGGGTTCGTGTGGCTGCGTGTTTTGGATTTTTCTTCCGCTGGTTGCGGGGTGCCGAGAAAGGGAATCGTGGCTGATTCTTGTTGCCGGCCTCGAGCCAGATCTGGTCATGCTGCTACCGTGGATGACTTATTGCTTGATTCCGATTTGTTTGTTTTGTTTTCTTATTTCTTCCGTTCAATAATAGTTTCAAGACCCATGAGCATATATACCGGAAAGTGGAGACAGATTTGGAAATCTTCATTTATTATTATTGCTAGCTTATAGTTTTGGGGTAATATACTATTTTTCCTGGTTCTCTTAATTGAACTAGTAAATCATCAAATCTGCCACTACAGTCGTCATGGTCAACCGAAAAAAAAAAACTAAACAACACCTAATCGGGGCGCCTAGAACAGTCCACGAACCTGAACTGCTGAACTTAAATGGTTGGAAGCCACAGATGTGTACTTTGCACTTTCTGGTTCCTGATGGTTTGTTTACTGATTTACGCTCATTTACTCTTTCCTTCTTGCAGGTAGACCACCTTTAGTTGGTTCCTCGAGTCTCGAGTCTTCATCTGGTGCTTCGGTTTGCAGCTTCATTTTTAAGGTACTCAGATCATCACTGCCAAGTATTATGGTATATGGACTCTTCTGTCATATATGGGTCTAGGCTAGGAAATTTCCTGTTTGAAAATCTAACCTACTGGGGAGTGGGGAGATGCCCAACAATCCAAAGAAACCCACATTCTACAAAACACTATGTTTACTTGTTGATTTAGTCTTCAAAAGCTAGGTTCTCCCAGAATTCGATCATTACTTGGTTCATGTTTTGCTTTGTTTAACACTCGAGGTGGGGTCACTGGATCATGCAATTCATGTATGTTCTGGCATATCATCATTTATTTTTTAGTTTCATTTTGCATTTTATTAGTTAGTGGATGCTTCAGCAGTGTGGTGTATATTTAATAATTTGTGGTTTGGTGTATGTGAGTAATTAGAATGGAATTTGCTATATACACTAGTTCTGCTTGTATTTCTGCTATGTGTTCCACAGTTACATTTTGTCAACTTCATGATGCGTGCCATCACTGCAGTTCCTCATATGTGATTGAAGTTTCATGGAACGACCCACTGATTTTGCTATAATAATATGAATAGCTTGGTAAAACTAAACATGAAAAATAAGTATTTGGAAAGGTGAACCAAGAAGTGTAGACCTATTGGACAACTACGCTTTGTTTCAGGTTATTAAGGTAGAATAATTACGAGCTGAAGATGGATTCTTATCATACTTTTTTTGCTATCTTGCCTCATTTTGGTCTTTGAGCTGCCAATTTCTATTACTTTTTGTTACAATAATGTATCTTTTCATGTCACATTGCTTAAGTGTGTATACCAGTTAAAAGGCAAAAGATTCCATTTTGCTTCCTTCCCTATTTCCATAGACGGATAAGCCCTAATGTTGTCACATGTGTTTATTCACATTTCAAGTTTTAGGATTAATTGTGAAGTTTGTTTTCTTCCTATGATTAGTATTTATGTTGCAGTCTGTAATTTATTGGCTGTTTATCTGACACTACACTCTGTTGTGTTTTCTTATTAGATGTCACAAGCCAGGGAAGTGAGGTTAGTACCCCGCATGGTGGACTTGTTATAATAATTCTCTTGTTCTCTCACTCAGACCAAATTCTCATAATCTTGTGTGTTCTGGTTTTTGAAATATTGCTTTTAGGTACACTGCACGGTCTATTACACCTCCTGCTGATAGAAATGGCACTTCAAGCTCACCTCCTCCAAAGAGACGCAGCCCCTCAAGGTCACCTCCACCAAAGAGTGCTTCACGGTCCTCACGTCCAAGGAGTCCAAAGAGACGCAGCACTTCAAGGTCTCCTCCTAGGAGACGTGGTAGATCAAGGTCAAGGGATAGAAGTCGGTCCAGGCAAGTATATCACTTGTAATTGATAGTTTATCAAATATTAATGGTTCCAATGAGGCAATGATTTGTTTTTAGCTCCAGTTTTGCAATTCTACACAAATATGGGACTGGGGCAGTACTGATGTTCAGCTCTTTATCATGCACAGGAGCCCAGATGATAGAAATCCAGGGAATAACCTTTATGTGACTGGATTGTCTACTCGTGTAACTGAAGAAGATCTTCAGAAGTTCTTTAGTAAAGAAGGAAAGGTATGGTCTCAAATTATTAGTTCACGCATTCTTATTATGATGGTCTCTTGGGGTCATCTTTGGTGCATGGCTGGAGCCTTGCTCTTAAGGAGATGTTTCTTCAGCTAAGCACAGAGATACGAGTGCTGGGTTAGTGTATTATGCTGTCAGTGTTGAGTTCAGGAGTCTCTCTTCCTTGTACTAGGAGTAGACTCTTGTCTCCTATGTATTATTTCTCTTAATGAAATGACATGCTGTTCTCCTGCGTTGTTCGAGAAAATTATTGTGGTCTTAAATTTATCTCTATCTGATTGTCTAACCTTCTGGTATCCAATTAATCAGTTCCATCTTTCAATGCAGGTTAAAAACTGTCATGTTGTTCTTGATCCTAGGACAAAAGAATCCCGTGGCTTTGCCTTTGTGACTATGGATACTCTTGAAGATGCAAGACGCTGCATCAAGTATCTGCACCGCACTGTACTTGAAGGTCGCCTGGTCACTGTAGAGAAGGTAGATACTAACTGTACTGATTCATTCCATTACGCATTTTTCTGTTGCATTTTTGTTGAATAGTGCTAGTTTTGTCATGTTATCTTTGTATATAGTAATTTCATGTAGTCTAATACTAGCAGTAGTACAGTTAAAAATATAAAGCTACTATACTGTCAAGCATGTTTTTTTGTCTTGTGTCTGTCCCTCCCCCAACTTGCTTGGGACTGACAGGATATGTTGTTGTTGTTGTTGTTGTGTCTGTCCCTCCCCCTCCACTTTAGTCTTGAAAATCACTGATGTCTTAGTAACATAGTAATACATTAATCTTGTGCACCATGGAAAGCATATTCCATTACATTAAAACTTCAATGATGCTATGCTATGTTCAGTTTAAAACTTTGGTGAAGTGCCCTTGACTCCTTGAGATGAGGTATGTTATGGGTAGAAGATTACAAATATGTTCTTTCCCTGTGATGGAAGAGTATATTCTGGAACAGCCAAGCCTGGAAATTCCACTCAGGTGAAATGGGCCAGACTAAATTCAAAGAGAATCATTTGTGATGTGTTCTGATGCAATCCTAGTGTGGTGAATGGGGAAAACCTCTTCTGTGGCTCTTCAACTGGGGTCTTAACTCTCGTCTCGTGCTGACTTCCTGACCTTCCAGTTTAACATGGTGCTGGGCTGCCTCTACATCAACCTGGTTGGTCCAGGCTGTGCAGTCTTCAACCATGGTTGTCTCCAAAGGATGTGCAGCTGACGTGATGGTGCTTATCACCACACCCTCAGAGCTCATCACCACTTGTCGTCTACACCTCCCTCACCGACAATGCATACGTGCTACATCAACACGAGGGCTGTCGCCATAGTGCGATCGTGGAGTCTTGTTGTGCATTGCGTCACCGCCACCACCACCGTCACCGCCACCTCTACCACAACCGCCATCGTCAACATCATGCTCATGATCCAACAAGCTCTACGATTTGTCTGCTTCGACTAAGCTTACATGGTGCATGCTGCTGCCATGTCACGACACCAACCACCGAGTCTGATGCGAACTTCATCGACCAGTATCTTGATTTGAGGGACATCACAAGAGGCATAAGCTGGCGCTTCCTTGGACCTTGGCTACACCGACCACGGAACGAGTGCACAAAAGTCATCTTTGGTTGAGCTGGCATGAAACGTAAAGTTATTAATCTACTTGTATCACAAGAATTTTGATCAAGAATTGACAAGCTTAATGATCCATGACTCTATTTTTTTTCAGCAAAAGGGCAAAGCTTAGTTTCTTTATCAATTCTATTAACCACTCTGTTCGAATTTAAGATTGAATTGGGTTCCTCCTTTATTTGGCGTACTTGAAGTTCATTGCTTGTTTCACGACTTCATTTCAGGCTAAAAGAACTCGTGAAAGGACCCCTACTCCTGGAAAATACTGCGGTCAAAGAGGTATGAACCAAAGTTGGCCAGTTTTGCACCTCCACATGATATGACCACAATGCTTTCTGTATTAAGCATCATTTGTCTTGCTTCTGGAAGTGTTGTTCAGCTTGCATACATTGTAGTTGAATGGATATCACTTCATTTGTTTGCAGTTGTCAGATGTGGTATGCTGTTTTATTAATCATAAACATGAACTCAGTCTCTAAACATTTTGTGTCACTCATGTGGTATTTGTTTGCTTGTTTGTTGTTTTATCAAGTGATCTCTAAATATTCTAATGACCGACCTCCATGAGGTGTTATGTTTCCTACAACCTGTGATTATAATTGTAGCTTTTATGGTGTTCTCTATTTTTAGCTGGCATAATTCCACACTATCGAAGCTCTGAGTACACATCTGGTCTAGGTGGTCTTCTATATTTTTAGCTGGCATAATTCCACACTATCAAAGCTTTGAGTACACATCTATGGTTTAGGTCATTGTTTTCCTTGATTCAAATCACATTTTTGAAGTAGTGAAAAATCACAAGCGTAGCCATGGGAAACTTGTGTGACAGTGAGTATGTGCAAATTTGGTTGCATATATCTTTTATAGGCTTGTGATCCACATGTGTGCTTTAAAACATTAGTAAGGAAAAACATTGGTTTGCGATCGTTCCTTTTGTATTTTGCATTATTGCAGCTATATCTTTAATATTTTTTTTTCTTAAAAATGCAGGAGGATCTCAAAGGAGTCCATCACCTTACCACGCTCGCAGAAGGGAGCGATCCCGCTCAAGGGAACGCAGAAGGGAGCGGTCACATTCAAGGGATCGAAGGGAACGGTCTCGCTCAAGGGACCGCCGGAGGGAGCGGTCTCGCTCAAGGGACCGCCGGAGGGAGCGATCCCGTTCAAGGGACCGCAGAAGGGAGCGGTCACGCTCAAGAGACCGCAGGGGCAGTTCACCCCATGACAGAAGGCGCGGAGAGCGGTCCAGATCACCCCCAGCAATGGGAACCACAAGGCAGACTAGGAAGCGCTTCCCTAGTGTGGAACCTTTTCGTTTCGGGACTAGTCGTGATTGTGTGAACAATGGAACTTGTAATGCTACCTTCAAAATGGTCTGACTGAGACGTTAGCGTGGAGTTTTAGCGGTGTTGCTGTATTTTATTGTTGTTACATTAAAAGTACGCTATTCTGTTAGCTTTCAGATCGAAATATCGAATGATGTTTGTTATTGTTCTGGAATCATATGAAACTATGACATTCTTGTGTGTTTGCTTAAAGTCGTTGTGTCATGTACATGCGTTAGCGTAAGATTGACACGTTGCGTGGTAGATGCCTCTGGTCAATGCTAAGTTGCCTTAAATTTTCAGTGTGGCATTACCCATTAGTGCCAGTGGGCTTGAGTTATTTGCGGGAGATGCGGCTTAAGCGTTCAGTAGTACTCACACTGCATGCATTTCTACTTGCGTGCCCCTCTCTCTTTCAGCTAGTCGTATGGAGGGAACCCGGATACTTGGAGGCAGGAACTTTTGTCGTTTAAAATAAAAATTTTGAACCAAATTAAATCTGGAGTTTTGGAGCGTGACGAAAGCAGTTGTCCCATCCCATGGTACGGACGGAAAACGGGATACTTCCTCTGTTCCACACGACCGGTGGGTCCGATCGTTGAACAGAAGCTTCTGATATCATCATCATCATCATATGATGACAATTTCTTAGAGTAAAGTCAAACGCAATGTGCAGACCGGTCAGCAACAAGCAATGCTGGGCCACCTGCATTGCATGCACGCGCCGCGCCCACCGGAGGAACTACGAACACCAACTTGGTGCGTGACTGCGTGGTGTGTCCCCTGCTCCTGCCTGCTACGGGGAGGGAGAACTGGAGAAGGGAGGGAACTCCGCCGTGTCCTTTTCCACTTCCAATGCAGAGGTACACGTACACCTCGTAGTCGTAGCATCAGATGACAATACCGTACGCGTTGTAGTCACTCATGTCATGTAGGGTGCAATTATAAAGGAGGAACCATCTGGCCAATTGCTAGCCCTTTTGCAACCTGAAGTCACAGAAACGCACTGAGATCACTTGCTTGATGAACAGGTTGCTTGAGTACATGCATGTAGTTGCTAGTTGAATTGAAACTGCTCATATATTGTATCATCACTCATGTAGAAAGAGCTAATTAAACTGCTACTTGAAGAGGTTTTGGCTCTGTTCGCTTATCTTACGAGCCGTACTATTTCAGCGAACGAACAGTGTTTTTCTCTCACAACAAACCATGTTCGCTTCTCTTATAATTTGTACTTTTCAGCTTGTTTTTTCAGTCAGAACGGTATTTTTCTCCCACAACAAATCAACCGGAATAGTGTTTTGGCTTGTTTTTTCAGCGAAGCGAACGGGGCCAAATCAGATTTTTTCAACCATGGCTTTTCAGCAAAGCGAACAGGGCCTTTGTCTCAGCATGTGCATGCCGCCTGTTGATTGTAAGCCCTTGGCTTCGCCATTACAATGCAAGGACGACGTTCCAACAGCAATTGCTAACCCAGTGCAAGGTGCAGTGTACACAGAACAGAACAGATACGTACCTACGAAGAACAGAATATCTCATAGCTCCAAGAAAAAAAGATGCAAAAGATCTAATAAATGCATGCTGCACACGCGAAACAACTTTTTCTTTGGACTAATGCTTACTAAGGTAAGGCCTTATTTAGATTGCAAATTTTTGCAATCTGGACACTGTAACATGTTTCGTTTGTATTTGATAAACTTTGTCTGATCATGGACTAACTAGGCTCAAAAGATTTGTCTCGTAATTTACAATCAAACTGTGTAATTAGTTATTTTTTTTTACCTACATTTAATGCTTTATGCATACGTCCAAAAATTGATGTGATGGAGAGAGAGTAAAAAAACTTGAAATTTTGAGACATAACAAAAGGCACTTCTATTTGGATGTCAGTAGTTGGCAAGGAAACAAAGTGATGATGGGCATGTCTCCTCCTCCTCCTCCTCCTCCTCTCTCTCTCTCTCTCTCTCTCTCTCTCTCTCTGACGTCACCAGGCCTAGTGCTGATCTTTCGTCTCTGACGTCACGAGGAGACAGGAGAGGCACATGCGGTTTTGTTTATTCCAGCGACGCGCAAAGAGGGTTGAAGATTCCTGGCGTACACGTCGGCCGGTCGCCGGTCAAGCTTGTCTGATTTCTCCACACCCAACCCAAAACTATGACCATCACTTCACGTCTTCACCCGTCCCTTCGCCACTTCACTGTATTTTTTAATTAACAATAAAAACATCTCACTCTCACCATCAATCTCAGGCCCTACTATATAATAATAATATCTCGATTTATATAAGCATCGCATTGGTCAACAAAGATCAGTTTTTTTTTTAAATCACAATAGCACCCGCATCAAGTTGAGAGTTGAAGCCAAGTGTGAAGGTTCGACATAAGAAACCCCACTAGATGATCTATGCTTAATTCACAATTGTCTTAGGTCTAATTTGGATCACCTGGAACTAAAGTTTAGCTGGACTAAAGTTTAGTCTATCGTTGTTTGGGTACATGGAGTAAAAGTAAACTAGAAAGCACAAAATCTTTGGTGGACAAAGACTCATATGCACCTTTTAGTCTATAATATTAGTCCACATTTGCAAACTAATGGACTAATAGCTAGCTAGTTGGGTTGGAAACTAAAAATTAGTTCACTTTTTGGTTCACAAGTTTGGATACATAAATCTAAAGTTTATGTGACTAAAGTTTAGTCCATTGTATCCAAACGTGTCACTAGTTATTGTAGTATCTTATTATTTTTACATTATTTTTCATCACATGCTCCTTCCAAGATAATTATCGGTTCAGTTTAAACCTTCTAAATTACTAAATATATTGAATCCTATTCCGCTAGGTTTATTTTTTTTAAAAAAATCATAGACCTAGATTCATGAAACCTTAAATTTCACAAGACATGAGAAAAAAAAACCAAGCGTGCTGGTAGCAGTAGCAGATGACATGCTAGGAATGGAATCCCATTTGACGAGCATACGTATACAGCCTGTGCCAAATGCACGAACGGAAAAAACGAAACGGGGTCAGGCTATATGTAAGACCCAAAAAGTGACAAATTTAATCTCCAGCAGAACAAGTGAGGTCACACACAAACAAATTGGAGCAGAGTTTAGACGACCGCTGGTAGGTGGTAGTGGTAGCTGCCTTCGCCCTCACGGTCACCAGCCAAACTCGGAGCTGCAGCTGCGGCCAAGATTGTACCACAGTGCAGTGCAGCAGCAAAAAAAAGGTGAGAAGAGAAATCCAGAAGGAAATCCATGCATGCAGAAGTAAAGAAAAGAAAAGAAAAGGAGAAGGAAAAGGAAAAGGGCATTTATGGCAAGTTGGGAGGTTTGAACCGGTCAGGATTTTGACTTTGAACCCTCGCTTGGATTGCAGCTGCATGCAGATTGTGTTTGTGTGTCTGCCATGCCTGGGCCACCTCCCTCTCCCTGCTGCTGCTGGGCGTGGATGGACGAGACGAGAGACACAGAAAGGGGATGGATTAGCAAAGACCGTGGAGCCGGTCCAAGATTCCCTCCCACGGTTGTTTGCGGATCCGGGACGCGGTGGGTTGATTCAACGGTCAAACAACGAAAACCAACTTTCAGAACATGATTATTAGCCACAAAAAGACCGCCTGGAATGGAATCGCGTGGTTTTTTTTTCAAACACAAAAGCCAGAGCTCCGCTCATCTTAGCTCATGACTAGTCGTTTTCGCCATCAACAAGGATTGCTGCTTCTATCTTGTATCTAGAACTAGAAGAGTACAAATCGTTGATATTGAGGTGGCCACAGCTCTCCCTTTTGCTTACATATATAGAACAAGGCGTACAAATATATCATATTGGATTCGATCATTCCAACGGTATATATAACCAATTTAATGCTATGTTAAGCTTATCTAGGATCTTATCTTGATTAATTACGTTGGACGTGCAGACTCCAGGGCCCAGCTCTTTGTTATTGAATTCTTTTTTTCTCCAAAAGATTTCCAAGAAATTTCCAATACAAGACCACCTGCCACGTAGAGTATGGTTTTCCTAAAAATTTTTGTATATAGTAATTTCATGCTTCTGCCAGGTCAAGTTTGGATCATGATTTTTCGACGTATGGCCTGATTTAACCTAAAAAACTTGACTTAGTAGAAAAAAAATCAAGGAATAGTTTAACCTAATTCAACAGTCCGTCGGGTCAAGCTCGGGCCAAAGATTTTAACTTGAATATTTTTTCAGCTCACCAGACATTTGATCAGGTGATCTAGTACCATTTCATCTTGGGAAACTTGTGCTTGCTCGGGCACGTGTCAGTGCTTTTTTTTAAACTCAAATATGAGCGTGTGAGATTGATCAAACGTGGAGAGCAAAACAGAGCATAGTACGAGATGAGAAGCCGAGACCCAACCCGGCAAGGCGGCAGCCAATCGCAGCGCGGTCTCCCCGATCCGGGGCGGTCAAAGAAATGATCGGCTTCCTCTGGTCGCCTCACTTCACTTGAAACTCCCCCGACGCGGACGCGCTTCCTTCCTCCTCCGGCCTCCCTCCCTCGCTTTCGCTTGCTATAAAACCTCCGCTCGCCTCCACTCCTCCCACCAGTTACCACCACCACTCCTCCTCCACGTCAAACTCAAGCAAAGCCACTCCTGGTCGCCGATCGCTCGCCACCTCACGCAGCACAAGCCTCGAGCTGCAGCTGCAACGACCGGCGCCCTCCCCTGCTCCGTCTCTCACTGAACCTCGATCGATCCTCGCAGCAGCCTGCCAGCACGCCCAGCAATGGCGGATGCCGTGGAGAGCGGCGGGCGGGCGCTCCTGGTCTCGGAGCTGGGCCGCGTGCAGGACCTGGTGCGCCATCTCGAGCTGCAGCTGCGCGCGCCCGCGGACGCCGCCTCCGTCGACCTCTGCCGCCGCCTCGTCCACCAGATCGTCGCGCTCACCGACCGCTCCATCGGCATGCTGCACTCGTCCCCGGACCTCGCCCAGTCGCCGCTGTCCGCCACCGGGACCGGGAGCCCGATCAGCAGCGACGCCGCCTCCGACCACCACCCCTTCCGTCCTGCCATCGCCAGCCCCAAGAAGCGCAAGGCCACAGCGCGCTGGACGAGCCAGCAGGTGCGCGTCAGCGCCGCTGGCGGCGGCGGCAGCGGCGCCGAGGGTCCCGCCGCCGATGGCCACAGCTGGCGCAAGTACGGCCAGAAGGACATCCTCGGCGCCAAGCACCCGCGGGCCTACTACCGCTGCACGCACCGCAGCTCGCAGAACTGCCCGGCCACCAAGCAGGTGCAGCGAACCGACGACCACCCCGCGCTCTTCGACGTCGTCTACCACGGCGAGCACACCTGCAGGCCCGGCGGCGGCTCCGGCGGCGCCAAGAGGGCGCAGCAGCAGCACAACCCGCACGCGCAGGCCGCGCTGCAGGGCCTCGCCGCGCGCCTCACGGTGGCCACCACCACCACCACGGACGCCGCCGCCGCGCCGCCGCCGCGCTCCCGCCCATGACGCCCGAGAGCTGCCCCGTGCGGGGCGCCTCGTCCCCGTGGTCGCTCGAGTCCCCCGTCGGCTCCGACTCCAACGGATGCCTGCACCAGGGCGTGTCGCCGTGCCCGGTGCCCGGGTACAGGGACTGGGCCTCGGACGGTGATCTCCAGGAGGTAGTGTCATCGGCGTTCGCCGCCGTCTCGTCGGTTGAGCCCCTGCCGGTGCTCGATGACGAATTCATGTCTCTCGAGTGCTTTGGATTCGACCAGAACTTCGACATTGACACCGCAATGCCAAGCCTCTACTATCCATGAGGAGAAGAGCAACTGATCGGCAGGCAGCCCTGTCCACTTCTCCAAGACAGGAGGCAGGAGCAGAGGAGCCTCTTCCTAAGAACTGTGCAGTAGCAGAAGCCTGAACTGTGCAGTAGCAGAAGCCAGCAAAGCTTTTAGGATATCATAATGAATAGCATTTCTTGTTTCATTACCTTTTGTTCTTTCTGTCTTTCCCTTTTCTTTTGGGGTTTTTTTGGGAGTCAGTTCTCTACTTGCTGGGTTGGGTTTTGTTGATTTCAGTCAGCAAGAGAAAAGTTAAAACTTACTTACGGAGCGATTAGCTCAATCTCAGAAATTATCTTCTCTTGATATTGTTTCACTTTCATGTTTGTGCACCACCAATGCCTTAGAAGCAGAGCATGTCAAATCTTAAAAACCCATTCAATGATTCAACAACCAAGTTAAAAATCAAACTTGCAACATCTTCAACATATCATCACTTCAGAAGGGATCATGAGAAACAGGTTCTGATTTAACCAAAACAATTACAAGCGTTTCAGACTCTTGTCCAACAACAGAAATGTACAAACACAAGCCAATGCAAAACAAATTTAATTTGGACATAACACTGGGATCTCAGCTGAAAATGGAAACAGGTTTGAGCTGATTTATCAGTCTAGTGCAATTTAACATGAATTCTACTCTAGAGCAAACAAAACCAACAATAATAAGACAAGCTTTGCAATAGCATCTAACACCTTTATCCCATGAATTGAAACCAATATCTAGAAAGTGCTTATCATTTCATTATTAAATTATTTTTCAATTCTTCTCAATACGTGGGAGCCAAACAAGGCCTTATGGAATTATTGATTGTGTATAGTATTTCTGTAGAAAACATTAGCAGTAGCAATACCTGGATAGGCAGCATGGGAAATAAAAAAACTGACCATTTTTGCCTATCATTACGGCAATACTGTCATTGTCTTTTTTTTTTTCATTTCCTTTTGAATGGTTTTCTTACAGAATATCTAAAATGGTGCTAAGTCTTCATGGAATATTGCTTGTAGTAGGAACAAAACTAAAATAATGTTGCTAAATCTTCACTAATTTGGTCCATTAGATCACCATAACTTTAAGATGACGAATAGTTAAAATCAATGTCACCCTGAAGTGCTAATTTCTAATTTCTGAAGAAACAATTCCATGAAAGGCACTGAAGTGCTGAACCAATGACAGGATGCTATGAGGTATAAGAAGCAATATAAGAAGTAACAAACCCAAAAAAACCCTCTGTGGAATCACCACCAGCATTATTTAGAATGGCATCTCCACCTGGATGTTCCTCCACATAAGGAGTGACATCATAGACCTGGTTCAACCACCAAAGATAAATTTAGAAGACCAACATATTTGGATTTCCCTATTTTGAAGTCTAGGGCATTGAATATGGACAAACTGAGGTGGCCACTGCATTAATACAACCTTATCCTTGATGATTATCCAACAATCCTTCCTTGTGTTATGTTTAGATATCTCTTCCTTCGTAAAGCTCCTAGATGTCTGAATGTAGAAAGACAAAAAGGTATGTATCTCTTCAAGCTGTCTAAAATATTATAAGTATTATGGTGCAAATCTGAGAATAAATTGTCTTGTAGCATGCATTTGTAGGCTCAAGAAAACTAGCCAACTAAAATTGAAGAGTTTACCATTCCAGCTCCTGAATCAGTTCCCTTTGATTTACCTGCAATTTAAGAGTTGCTCAGATACAACTAGGTCAAGCTACTACAATAAGTTATGCAACTTGTACCTTTATTTTGTGACTTGGGGATCATAAAGAGAGCTCCTAGTGCCAAAAGAATGACAACTGAGATGATGACAGTAACCTCCATCTTGCTCCTCTAGAATTAAGAACTTTGCAGCCACACAAAAAATGTGCTGTACTGAAAAAGGATCATTAAGAACAAGGCCAAAAGGATTAATTGCAGAGAGAGTAAAAATTAGGTATGGACTCAGTAATGAAGAAAGCTGATGTAACATCCTTGGTGAAGAATAGCAGAAGAATAACAAAACATGCCAATGTCAGCACACAGCACAATGAAATGGTATTTCCCTAAAGTCCACTGAATCAAAGATATAACATATTACGAAGCATAGCAAGGAAAACAGACTAATGCTAGACTATAACCCCCTAAGTGATCATGTCATCTTTTGAGAAGATGTTACCATCAATGCTAAATCAGAGAGGGAGAAGTGTGTGTGGGGGGGGGGGGGGGGGGGGGGGGGGCAACTAGCAAGGACCATCGCAAGGTAGGTGACTTCTCACATCATAGCTAAGACGATGGGGGTGATGTTATTAATGATGCATTAGTATGAAGCAGGTATATGTGAGCCGTGTTTAGGGAATTAAAATATTGTGTATTACACCAAGGATCGTCAGTATACTGATGATGCCATTCTTTTCATGAAGAGAACAAAAAAAGTACTGAGCACGGAAATGAATAGTTTTCCAAAATGAATGAGTGCAGGCTCAGACCGACCTAACTAATTAACATGAAGGGTGAGCAAGCATTCACAGTATTGAGGATTGAAAGTTTGGCGAATAAGCACAAAATATCGACAACTTCAAGTGGATGAAGTGGGAATTGGAAGAATGCATCGCAATAACGTGGTTGATATATGAGCAAAAGACTTCAGTTAAAAAACAATAGGAGGGTCATACTAAGGGTCATACTAAGGCCTCTTGCTGATAATAAAAATTACTAATGATAGCAACAGATTTACAGGATGCAAATAACATTCCAAACAGTTACGACCATACTTAGCCTAAACAAGGAAAAATAAATGAAAATGTAGTGCATCTGAAGATAATTTTCATCTTCCTTCACAATGATGAGCGAGGAATTAGCAAGTCAAATTACTTTTCAATGCATCAATGATCTGCCAAGGAATTTTTGCGTCCAACCATGGTTTTATACCTAGTATTTTCTTTTTCCCCCAATGTCGAGCCAATATGTCTCTTGAAAAAACTTCATGTTGCAAAATCGACTGAAACTATGTTCTGTTGGGTTGAGGTTTAACGGTATAGTGGAAACAATGCTTTGTGCCTTTGTTCAGTTAAATAGTACACTCAGTGAGGTGTCATTGAATACGAGTGAAGGGAGCATAAATACACGTTCAGGGACAGTCCGGTCAGGAAATCCCACTTGGGAAATCCCCCGCGGCACATGAATCCCAAATAAACTGGATGGGTTCGGATGTTGAAGCAGCTATCCCAATCCCAAACAGGAACACCGTGATTATGGGTTCGGATGTTGGAGCGAGACTATCCCAATCCCACAAAGGAAGATCCTGATTCGAGGACAGCATGAACAGCCCATCCAAGCGAGACTTAGACAGCTAAGCTAGGGATTCCTAAGCCAATCCTGGGGATGTACGGATCTCGCTGCGCCGCAGCGGGGGCGACGAGAGCGGCGGCGGTAGAGCGGGAGAGAGAAGTGCGCCTGAAGGCCGGAAGGGAGTGAGACGGCAGGCCGAGTGCGTGCGCCGTGTGCCTGAATTTTTTATTTTTTAGCTTTTTTTTTAATTTTTTTCACAAATACGTCTTTGGAGATAAGAATTTAAAATCTGGACCCTTAGCTCGGCGCCATCGTTGCTGACGCCGAGCTTACATTTCTTGGTGCCATCGTTGCTGGCGTCGAAGTCTTGGGCTCGACGGAGACGTAGCGATGACTTGACAGGCAGCTCGACGCCGTAGATTCTGGCGCGCGAGCTTAGCGCCGTGGTTACTGGCGCCGAGGTGGTGTTTTAACCCCGCTCCTAAACCTGTTGTCAAATCATGTGGCCTTCACTTGGCATCATGTTTACTCGTGCCTGTCACATGTTGTCAAATGTTGTCACATGTTTACAGCATGTTCGTTTGGCTGTGGCTTGTCGTAAACGATCGTAAATTTTCAGCCGGAATAATATTTTTCTCTCGCACAAACCAGCCAACAGTACTTCTTCACGAACCAGCAACGAAACGAACCAGCCAACCGAACAAGCTATTACTCATGCCTGTCACATGTTTACTCATGGTGGCATCATCGTCACATGTTGTCAAATGAGTAAACATGATTTTCCTCGTGCCTGTCACATGATGCAGGAGGAGGTGGTAGACACTATCAGCGAGGAGTGGCCCTGCAAATGAATTTTCATGTGCATATCAATATATCATATGGGAAAATTGAGGAAATAAAAAGAGAGAAAAAAAGGAGAGCCTACCTACTGCTCGCATCTCCTTGGGCGATGGCGGAGGATGCTTGGTGCCTCCCTGCGCCTGCGGGCGGTGGGCGCGGCCGTCGCTGCTACAGGAGTACGCGAGGACGAAGCGCCGAGAGGGAGATGGCCGGAGGCGGGCCGGCGCTGTTGCGGGGCCACGGCGTGCCCCGGCCGCGTTGGTGTAGCGTGGCACAGTGGCGCCCTGCATGCCGCACCGCGCGGCCGGGGGAGGGCGCAGGCGGGAGGGGACGGGGGCGCTCCGGCGTGCTGTCGTCGTAGCTGGCCGTAGGTGGGCCGGAGTGCTGCCAAGCCCTGCGGGCCGCGCAGCGTTCGGCGGAGGGCATAGGCGGTGGAGGTCGCAGACGGGGGAGAGGAAGAGCAGGCGGAGGCTGCGAGGCGGCGGTGCGCAGATGACGGATGCGACGACGAGGCGAGAGAGTTGAAAGAAAAGGAAGAAGGCTCGGGCAGGGGCGGGGTTAAAACACCACCTCGGCGCCAGTAACCACGGCGCCAAGCTCGGCACCAAGATCTACGGCGCCAGGCTCGGCGCCAGGATCTACGGCGCCGAACTGCCTACCAAGTCACCGCCACGTTTGCGTTGAGCCCAAGACCTCGGCGCCAGCAACGATGGCGCCGAGAAGTGTAAGCTCGGCGCCAGAAACGATGGCGCCGAGCTAAGGATCCAGATTTTGAAATCTTACCTCCAGAGGCATATTTATGAAAAAATTTCAAAAAAAGCTAAAAAATAAAAAATTCAGGCCGTGTCGTGTGGATCCGGTTCGACTGGCTCTACACTACACCGAGACGTTGGCAACGCTGCTCGCGTCCTCCTCTCTCTAGTAAATAAGTATTGTACATGTGCTAACGCTACGGTAAAAATAAAAAGGACAATATATTTCTTAAAAATAAAGTAAATAGTGAGATATATAGATTAAGATTCTAATATACTAGTCTAATGTTTTTGGAACCTATGTAGGTATAGGCCTCGGGTCCATTATACATATATTTCTAGTCTACTCAAGGTTTAAGCATCGAGTCATCAGAATAATTTTTTCCCTCGTGGTTGCAGGAAGCTCCAATTGAAGCTTCTTGATATAATCTCCTACAACTAAAAAGACTAAAAGTAAGACTATTTTTTGGTGCAACTTTTTTTTAGGGTCGCTCCTTCCTTTCGGCTATGCGATACCCCACGCGATAGAAAAAGAAACTACCATCCCTGTGATTCCCGCCTGCTTTGAAGGAAACAAATCGATCACCTGAGGACACATGCATGAAATGAAACAATAATCATGCATGGAAGGAAACAATTGGCAAAGATCAAGCAAGACTCCTCCCTTCCGGCCATACGATACCCCGCGCAATAGAAAAAGAAACTGTCATCCCTGCGATCCCCGCCTGCTTTGAAGGAAACAAATCGATCACCTTAGGCCACATGCATGGAAAGAAACAATAATCATGCATGAAAGAAAACAATTGGTAAAGATCAAGCAAGATGACTCAATGAGGTTGGCCCTTAATTTTAGTGTTTCCAGCATGCAGACCTGAAATTAAAAAGTGGCTGCTCCTTGAGAACATCAGTGGTGCCAAATAAAAGATGTGCATGTTATACATGGTGAGACTGGTAAACCTTCTGTAATTTCCTAAACGAATATTCCCACCATTCGTATATAGGTCCATTCTCCTGCGTTTCTTTATGCTCCAATTAGCATATAATATGAAAGTATTGTCGTGTTCATCACGACTTCCAGTTGACTACTCCCATTAGCATATACTTCCTCTGCCCCAAAATATAAGTCGTTATGGGATGTGTGTAGGTCAAACTTTCTCAACTTTGGCTAGGTTTATAAAAAATATGTGCAACATTTAACAATCAATTGGTCGACTCCTGAGGCCACATGCTTGTAAAAAATACATGTATTATAATTGGTCGAAGTTAAAAAAAGTTGACTTCTTGGAAAGGAAGAATGAATTCTATTTTGAGACAGAGGGAGTATATGAAAGCAGTGTTGAAAATATTTTAACAATCAAGTTCGTTGCTATCTGATTGGTAAGCTTAGACATCATAATGGCATAAAAAATTTCGACTCTCATGGACACCCTCATGGACAGTGCAAAGCATCCCAATCCTACAGCATACACAAATGGCAACCTTAAAGACCATCTTAGACGTTCTGACATTAAAGTATATACGTGCAGACATATAGGCATGGTGGTGCAAGTGAGCAGCCAGCAGGAGTCGAGAGTTAGGGGGTGTTTGGATCCCAGGACTAAGCTTTAGTCCATGTCACATTGAATTTTTAGATATCAATTAGGATGACTGAATATGAGCTAATTATAAAACTAATTACATAAGTTGTGGCTAATTCACTTGCCAGCGCCGTGTACAGGATGGTATGAAGATGTGGTGGAACTTATTTGTGGATTTGTTGGCGCACGAAAGAAATGGATATCGAAAATCTCTTCCTGTCGGTATAAAAAATTATCTTAGCCGCATCACAGAAAGATCTACACAGTATAGTTTGTGAGCCTGCGATGCCATGCTCTCTGTAACTGTGTAAATTTCACGAACTTAGTTTTTTTGATTAAATGTCACTTTAACGTCGGTCATATACTTTTACAATATTGTTATCTTATCGTGCGATCTGTGTGTTTTTAGTACAAAAGTTTAGCTGTCCCGTAGCAACGCACGAGCACAAACCTATTTACATATATACTCGAACCTGTGTGTACATGATTATATGGAAATGCAGTGAAACTTATTCATGGATTTATTGGCGCATGAAAGAAATGGATATCGTAGAATTCTTTCTGCCGATATAAAATATTATCTTAGCCATATCACGAAAAAGTCTATACAGTAGAATTTGTGAGCCTGCAACGTCGCGCTCTCCGTGACTGTGTTAATTTCACGAACTTTGCTTTTTGAATTAAATATCACTTTGACGTCGGTATTTAATTTAATAGTATTGTTATCTTATCGTGCGATCCGTATGTTTTTAGTACAAAAGATTTAGTTGTCCCGTAGCAACGCACGGGCACACTACCTAGTGAAAGGCCTAATTAAACACATCCCTAATCTTTCATGGCTTGCGCAATATTAAAGCACAAATGTACGCGCCATGGACCAAAGACCTGCATGGAGAGACAAATGGATCAGCTTCTCGACTGAAACCAAGTCAAAGCACCATTTGTTTTTTCAAAGCACAAGAAAACAAACTCGGAGCTCTCGTTCGTGATACCGTAATCTTGAGCAGCTTTACCGACGTTTCATATGTTTGCTTTATTGCATCCCTCTTAAATCCAACAGAAAAAAGAGAGAACTGATAAGGCATCACAATTATTAAGCAGGAGAAAAAAATGCCAATGGCAGCAGTAAGGAGCAGTAGAGTTTAATTGAATTTTATTTTCAAAATCCTCCACTGACAACTGCATCAAATTAAACTCTAGACTCAATTCAAGCTCTCCAGTCTCAAACTCTGTCGATAGTAGATACAGATATATAATGACTTGTAGTATAATACCCTGAAAAAGACATGAAACAAATCAGAAGGCACTATCCCATGTCCCTTGGGTATAAAAATGTTGCTCTCTATAATGTAGGGCCTATCGGTCTGGAGTCTAAAAAATTTGTTCAAAATTTTCAATCACCAAAATTTATAGCCGGTGATAATTTCATCAATATGAACAAATGGCACAAAGTTCAGCATGTCAAGACATTTGTATTCCAATGAGTAAATTAAAGATACTAATATTCCCATATGTTGTATGTTGCGTAGGAGGAAACAATGTCTCAAAAATATTTTCATATGTAATAATTTAGAATGTGAGCTCCTAGTGAAAGTTCCATATGCAAAGACGTACCTCTTGAAAGATGGTTTTTAGGCAAGAACTCTTCATCAGGACAAAATGCGAATAACTCTTCACTGGCTGTCTCAAGATGGGCTTCTGAACCATCTGAAGCCTGAGGACTCAAAAGAGCATCTATTGCTTTTTTTATGCATTGCTTTCTGGCTGAGACATCGGTAGACCTGCAAGCGAGATTAACTTGTGAGGTAAGTTACTTGCCTACATTATAGATAGCTTACATCCCAGGAGGGCATACTCCGAGATTGCTTTTGGGTTCAAATTACCTGAACCACAGACAGCACCACTGACAGGTATGATAGATATGTTGATGAGAAAAGCTACTGTAAGGGCAAATGCACTTTCAATCGTATACAATCTGCAGGCTTCCTGCAAGAGAGTGAATTGTTAGCACGGGCAATCATCTGAAAATAGGAATAACACATTAGGTCAGTCAGTATAAGGGGAATTAGAGGTTACCTTAATCCCATGAACTGACCGTGGCACTTTTCTGATGCCGAGTGAAGAAAAAGATTATGACTGCAATTTATGCGCGCAGCAGATAAACGAAAAAAGGTCATGTGTTGAAAACTGAATGCTTGGAAACTAACAGATATACAAAAAGCTTACGGCATCGCTGTAGCACCAAGTAATGAGATAGCAGGACCTGTGTTAGCCCACAGGATCACCGGCACGGGTGAGTCGACCACTCACCAGCGTTGCAGGTCACGACTATCGTTGTCTGACCACACACTATGGTTAGAGGTAGAAGAAGGAAGAGAGAACAGAGCACACACAGAGCACAAGCAACAGCATTGGCCGGAGCTCTGCAGAGGAGATGGCAAAACTGAACTCGCTCTCTTTACTGAGTTGCAGTGGCAAACTATATATACAACTCTATACATTTAGTCCTAATACAGCTGCCATGCTGCTACAGTGACTAGATGTGATAGCAGGGCTAACTCTGGCGTCTGCCCCTACTGTGGCTACAGTGCGGCAGGAGAGCCGTTCGGCGCCTGCCTCAGCTATGGCTACAGTACCACAGCAGAGAGCCTTTTCGGCGCCGCCTTCCCCTGTCGTGCGTTCACACAGAAAAGCACCAGATTACTTAATAATTCTTCCCCTAATTCTGCTGCTAACCATAGAACCCCCTCCATGCCGATCATCTTCTTCAGCTCCATGAGTCGAAGACGGCCGAGCGGCTTGGTGAGGACGTCCGCGAGTTGTCGACCAGTTTTAACGAACTCGATGACGATCTGCCCTCGATCGACACAGTCCCTAAGGAAGTTAAACTTTATGTCGATGTGCTTACTCCGGTCGTGGAGAACCGGATTCTTCGCGACGGCGATGGCGGGCTGGTTGTCCACCATCAGTGCTGGTGGGTGAGCTTCCACACAGGTCAGCTCACCCAGCAGCCGGCACAGCCACACAGCTTGGCACGCCGTTGTGGCCGCCGCCACGTACTCTGCCTCGCACGTGGACAGCACCACCACCTTCTGTTTCGACGACAGCCATGAGATTGGAGCCGACCCGAGGAAAACGAGCACACCAGAGGTGCTCCGCTGTCCATCGATGTCCTCCGCCATGTCTGCATCGCTAAACACAGTGAGCTGCAGCCTACTTCCGCCAGTCTTGGGGAAGACGATCCCCTGATCCACCGTCCCCTTGATGTAGCGCAGTAGCCGTTTTACTGTAGCCCAGTGATCCTCTCTGGGATCCTCCATGAAGCGACTAACGTAGCCCACGGTGAACGCAATGTCCGGCCTCGTGCGGACTAGATAGCGCAGACCGCCAACGATGCTCCGGTACAGTGTTGCATCTACCTTCACCGCGGTACTGGCCTTCGTCAGTTTCAGTCGCTCCTCCATCGGAGTCACACACGGCTTACACTCAGCCATGCCGCTCCGCTCCTGAAGTTTTCTGCACGCCTCCCGGAGTGCTCGGCTCTGTCGCTAGAGTGCTCGGCACCCCTCTCGGAGTACTCGGCACCTCTTCTCCAGCGTCTCCACCACCATGGATGACCAAGTGCTCGACGACGTAGGTGCTGGTGAAGCCGCCAGCTTCCCCCGTGCTCGGACTGTTCCAGTCCTAGGCCGCCTTCTCGTCGAACATGACGTCGCATGAGACAAGCACCTTGCCTCCGCGTGGGTCGTAGAGCCGGTACGCCTTGGTACCTTCCACGTAGCCCAGGAACACCATCGGTGTGCTCCTATCCTCCAGCTTGGTGAGGACCGACTTTAGCATGCGCAACTTCTTGCTAGACTTTGCCTCCACGCGTGCTTTGAACTTCTTGATCGCCGCCGCTGCCTTGTCCTTGCTCGTTAGGAGTTACAGCCACATATGGCGACAATAATCATCCACGAGTAGGAGGAAGTACCGTCGACCACCGTTTGTGGCTGGCGTGATTGGCCCATAGAGGTCGTTGTGGACGAGCTCGAGAGCGTCCACCGCGTGATACTTGGCCGCCTTTGGGAACGGCAGCCTCCTCTGCTTCCCGACCAGGCAGCTGTCACACAGCTCGCCTGCTTGCTCGATGTGGGGCAGCCCTCGGACCATCTTCTCCAGTCGACCAAGTGCGTCAAAGTTGAGATGGCCGAACTAGACATGCCATAGCCACGGCTCCTCAGTGTGCCGTGCTGCCAGGCACACCGACTGCTCTACCTTCATGTTGAGCAGGTACAGCCGGTTCTGGGACCTCTTCACCTTGGTTAGAAGGCACTGCTCCTGGTCCCTGATCCTAAGGACACCGTCCTTGATCAGTACCTCGCTACCACGCTCATCCAGCTGGCCAATGCTGATGATGCTAGAACGCAGCTGTGGGATGTAATATACATCCGTTAATGCTGATGAGGCATGAGTAAACATGTGACAGGCATGTGTAAACATTTGACAACATGTGACAGCAATGATGGCGCTGAGAAGTGTAAGCTCGACGCCAGCAACGATGGCGCAGAGCTAAGGGTCCATATTTTGAAATCTTACCTCTAGGGGCATATTTGTAAAAAAATTCAAAAAAGGGCTAAAAAAAATTCGGGCAGTGTGATGTGTGGATCCGGTTCGACTGGCTCTACACTACACCAAGATGTTGGCAACGCTGCTCGCGTCCTCCTCTCTCTAGTAAATAAGTATTGTGCATGTCGGTGCAGAAAGTGACCAACACATAAATATTTGTAGTTTTGCCGTACGTTGTGATCGGATGTGGCCTAGCGCTCAATGGCACAAGGTTTATACTGGTTCAGGCAATGTGCGCTACATCCAGTTTGAGTCGGTCGATGACTTTATTCCTGAGCCCAGATGCTCAAAGTTTGCTATGGGGTTACAAAGGAGAGGGAGAAAGATGGGGGGTGCAAGAGGTCTGGCCAGACTCCGAACTGAAGAGCCAAGAGTGACAGGAGTTCCTACGTGCGCTAAGTATTCAAGTGTGCGCTCTATGTAGCTTTAGAGTGTCTAATGCTAGCAGAGGGTGAATCGATCGTTGGTTGTTCTAGTCGTTCGAGTCCTCGATGTGTGTTCAAGTTTTCGATGTGTGTTCGAGAGTTTTTTTCCTAGGAGAGCGCGCATCCCATTTTATAGACGAAGGGGATGGCCTTACAAGTGAGAGAGAGAGAGAGAGAGAGAGAGAGTATGCATGCTACTAAGTCTTATTGCCCACGCCGTCGGGTACAAGATGATTGTAGGCGCCCACAACACTGTTGATGTTAGACGCATGTGGGAGGTTTTTACCGTGTTCACCATGTATGGCAAATGTTGGCGCCCACAACACTGTTGATGCCTAGAGACATGTGGGGGGAGCCTTACCGTGTTTGCCTGGTATAGGAATTGATGGCGCCCATAACACTGTAGGGCAAAACATCGGTTCCCACAACACTGCTTGGGTTTTGACATGCTTGGAAGGTGGCAGGGCACTCTTCTAACATGCCATATCGGTACTATCCTATAGGTGTATAGGGTATGGTCTTTGGTATTTGTGGTTGACTCGAGCGTTCTGCCTTACTTGCTCTGCCCGTTTCCTGAGTCCTTACCGAGCGAGCGTCCCCAATCAGTTGGTCCCAGTCGGCTCCGATTGCGTCAGTCGGAGAAGAGCTATAAGCAGAGGTTCGGTGCATCCCCAGTTGGAGACGCGGGTCGGAGTTGGAAGCGGTGTTGGCCAGGCCTTCCGGTCGGAGAAGCGGGCCGGAGTCGGAAGCGACCGATGTTCCTTCTTGACTAGGCCTTCCAGTCGGAGAGGCAGGCCAGAGTCGGAAGCAAGGCCTTCTGGTCGGAGAGGCAGGCCAGAGCTAGAAGCGAGGCCTTTCGGTTGGAGAGGCAGGCTAGAGTCGGAAGCGGGCGCCGTTCCTCTTGGCCAGGCCTTCCGATCATAGATTGGATCGCCCTTCTGGCCTGTCGTTAGGTATTTGGGCCGGCCTAGGAGTTGCGCGTCATTCACAATGTCGTATGCTGAGCTGAGCTTTTGCTGGGAAGCAGGTCCATGAGGGACCCCGGGTTTATGAACCCGATAGGGGCCCCCAAGCCCCTGGGCGATTCGGGTAGAATCGTCTGGGGGGTTTTTGCCTTGACAGTGGGGGAATTTTTTGTTTTGACAGCAGGTGCGCACGAGCGCACCCACGGGTGTAGCCTACGAGCGATTCAGGCAGAATCGCCTGGGGGTTTTGTCAGTGGGCGTTAGTGTGTGCACCTTGGTGGGCGTAGCTTCCTCTTTCCAGTTTCTGACCCATCATTTCCAGGAGCGTGGTCCCAGGCATTTTGGTCGTGGCCGAGGGACTGGGCGAGACAGAGTCATCAACTAGGGCACTGGGCGCGCCGAGGGATCGGGTGTGTCAGAGTCACGGATGCAGGCGTCGGACATGCCGAGGGATCGGGCGAGTTGGAGTCGTGGATCCAGGCACTGGGCGCAACGAGGATCGGGCGAGTCAGAGTCGCAGATCCAGGCGCTGGGCACAACGAGGGATCAGGCGATCGGAGTCACGAATTCAGGTGTCGGATGTGCCAAGGGATCAGGCGAGTCAGAGTCACGGATCCAGGCACTGGGCACAATGAGGGATTAGGCGAGTCGGAGTCGATGATCTAGGCACTGGGCACAACTAGGGATCAAGTGAGTCAGAGTCACGGATCCAGGCGCTGGGCATAACTAGGGATCAGGCGAGTAAGAGTCGTAGATCTAGGCACTGGGCGCAACAAGGGATCGAGCAAGTCGGAGTCTGGGATCCAGGCATCGGACGTGCCGAGGGATCGGGCGAGTTGGAGTCGCGGATCCAGGCGTTGGGCGCAATGAGGGATCGGGCGAGTCGGAGTCGTGAATCTAGGTGCTGGGCGCAGCGAGGGTTTGAGCGAGTCAGAGTCGCGGATCCAGGCACTAGGCGCAACGTGGGATCGGGTGAGTTAGAGTCATGGATCCAGGCGTCGGACGTACTGAGGGATTGGGTGAGTTGGAGTCACGGATCTAGGCGCTGGGCATAATGAGGGATCAGGTGAGTCGGAGTCACGGATCTAGGCGCTAGGTGCAACGAGGGATCGGGCGAGTCAGAGTCATGGATCCAGGCATTGGGCGTAGCCGAGGTTGTGCCGTGGTGTTTGGGCGTCCTAAGCCCCCGAGCCCCGTTGGGCTCGGTAGGGGTCGGTTGAGTTTCGTGCGTTA